GCCAGCTCGCGGTGAGTGCGCTTGTCTGCCACCATAGCGTCCAGGAGATTGTGCATGGTCTTCTCAATGGTCGCCTCATCGCTGAAGCCATCAAATAGATCCGGTGGGAAGGTTGCCTTGGCGAATTCCTGGATCGTCTCCGCAGACATCACCTTGTCGCAAAAAGCTTCAGCCGGGTCCCTATCCGATTTCAAGGCAGCTGCAACGGTGGCATCCGGCAGGCTGAAACCAAAGTCCGCGTCTTGCACAATGTGTTCGTCATGCGGAGTGGACAGCTGGGAATTTGGAAGGTCTTGTGTTCCTGGGGATCTTTCAGCTTCAAGATGCATTGGACCCGCTTGAGAGGGCTGAGTTGCTGGCACTTCTTTCTGCGTAGCCACATGAACCGCAGGGGCACAAATGCACCGGCAGGTCGGACATGTGACACTAGCCTCCCAATTTCGTAGCTTGCACAACCTGCGGCAACAATCCTGATGCATCATGTGTCCACATTCTAAGTCCAGCCGGATCTCACCCTCCTCAAACTCTAGGGTGCACACTGCGCACGCCATAGCTGGAGAGAATGTTCAACTAAGGAGCGGCGCCAAAGTACAAATCCGTAGTTCATATTGTCATGTGGTAGCGTATCTGCTCATGGATATTGAAACATGCTTTGACTCATGGACTACCATGTCACCATGTCTATAGATTCCAGGACCTAAACTTTCTGAGCCGGGAGCAGTGCACCATTATTGACTCAACTGAGTTCGTGATGAGGGGCTGGGCCGTGCCCTGTCCCCGACGCTGGGCCGTGCCCTGTACTGCCTGCTGGGCCGTGCCCTGCTGGCGAATGGCATCCATGCTCGCGTTACGCGCAGGCGCCGAAAGGGAGGGTACCGGCATTGAGAGGGAAAAGGAAAGAGATGCGTCGGATAAACAAAGGGAGGCTACGGGAGCGGATAGGAAGACTCTTATTGCGGAATGTCGTGATGAGGGGCTGGGCCGTGCCCTGTCCCCGACGCTGGGCCGTGCCCTGTACTGCCTGCTGGGCCGTGCCCTGCTGGCGAATGGCATCCATGCTCGCGTTACGCGCAGGCGCCGAAAGGGAGGGTACCGGCATTGAGAGGGAAAAGGGAAGAGATGCGTCGGATAAACAAAGGGAGGCTACGGGAGCGGATAGGAAGACTCTTATTGCGGAATGTCAAGCTATGAGCGCGTCCACCAGGGACCATCACATGGCTGTCTGGTAGCATGAAACTAAGGCGCGGTGCCTGAACGATCATCTTCACAACATTATTCCTGTACTCTGGCGCAAGATCAGGCTTGAGCAACACGCGGCACGGATGAACGTACTTGAATGTACAATATACCAGGTACCAATCTTCTTTTCTGCTGCTTCTTGCAAAGTTTTCATCAATCGATCGATATTTGTCTTTCCCACCTGTGCCTGTGCCTCATGCATCAACTGGCTGGCAACCAAACTGCCTTGGGAGCGTGGGATCGCCTGGCAAGGCGAGCCGACGTGGGCCCCAAATGTTGCAAAGAAGCAAACGATGCAAGCAAGCGCACATCCTCAGGAGCTGCTCTTTCTGCGGCACCTGACATGCGAAACCCACAAACACAGCCAACAGCTTCTTGCAAGAGTGTGGTCAAGAAATGATGCTCAGAACAGAACGGGGCCTAGCGATGGGTCCTGACCAGGCACTGAGTCTGCAGCTGGATCCTCAGGGAGCAAAAGAATGAGTGTCATTCTGCAACTACGTTTACGCAGCGTTTACAGAACAGTGACCAGAACACAGCACTCAAGTGCGTACGGTACGTCAAATCCAGCAGTGAAGCAGTGAAAAATCCAACAGCTGGCAACGACCCTCTGCCCAAGTCTGATGTGGTTCGCTGGAAATTGGGGAATGTACACTGCCAGTCACCTAGAGGCTGTTCTGACATGCCAGGTCGCATGTTCAGCTGGAACACAGTGATTGATGACTGGAACACCTTCCTCCAAAGCTCTGCCACTTTGAAAGCATTGACGGACATGGCTTTCACACACTGAAAATGAATAAGCGTTGACTAGGAAAGGTGTGTCTAGACGTTTAGAAATTGCATGGTTGAATTTGCTTGCTGAAAAGGAAAGGCGACTTTGCTTGCTGAAAAGGAAAGGCGACTTTGCTTGCTGAAAGTGAATGTCTGGCTGTGTGGCCTAGTGACAGAGGCCAACCACTTGCTGTGAGCCTATATACGTATAGTCCTTGGGAAAATCGACTTGGAATTGGCAGGTTGAAACTAACATGCCACTTTCAGCAAACTCAAAAAAACGAAAAATGGAAACTAGGAAATATGTGGTAAATATATCATCCAGATTGTTGAGAGAAATTGTCTTGATAATATAATGTTTCTTTTTATGGTTCTTTGGAGAGGTATCACTGTTCTGAAGTAACTGTTATTGTTCAGGAATACCTGTGGTGGTGTCGTCGTACCCTCTTTATTCAGGGGTCATCGGATCTGGCCAACGCTGGTCAAGTAGCTTGTCACGTCCACCGACGAAAAAAGAACACAAAGACAGGCAAGCATGTGTGTATGTCTGTATGCGCGAAAAGAATCCGTGCGAACCGGTGCGAACCGGTGCGAACCGGTGCGCATCAAATACCGGACGCGCGCGATGTTACAATGGAAATTTGTATTTCATACAGTTTGCCAAGTATTCCTTTTCTTCTGGCACGTACGTTGTCGACTGCACATGTTCTTCCCCAAAGAAGATCCTTACTTTCAACAATTTCTGGAAATGTCATAATTAAAAATGTTGAGCTTTCCAAAAATGGATTAATAATGTTCTTATGGAAATTTGTCATCTACACTTTTCACGATCCCAAAACCCAATTCATAAGCTTTAAGCTTATGTTCTGGCACGCTTGGCTGGCCTTTCATCAGCAGCGCCATCCCCATCTTTCTTGACATCTTTGTGGCCCCGCAAAGAGCTCTGCACAACAGGATCTGGGAACACAAATCATCGACGATCCTGTTTTCTTCCGTGCAAAATAATTCCACCGATAGAGTACGATGCCACCCCTGGAGTGCGCTAATTTTCTGGAATGCGAAAATAAAACAGTATGCGTGGCCCCCTTCGACCTTCCCCATGAATCCAACACCAGTTTTTTCCATCATATACCAGAAAATTATCACATTTCACCCTGCTGAGCTTTTTTTTTCTTTTTTCTTTTTTTTTTTTGGGCAAAAATTGCCTGGAATGCGATAGTATGTGCAACTACAGACGTCTCACGAAAAACCTCTACCTTTCCCATATTCCAGAAAACGTGATTCCAGGCGATTTTAGCCCCCCAAAAAAAAAATGAAAAAAAAAAAAGAAAAAAAAACGAAAAAAACGAAAAATTACCGAGTACGAAGATTTTATGGAGTGCGAAGATCTTGCAGAGTGCGTGGATTTTATAGTATGTGCGCGTCCCTAGCTGTGGAGTGCGATGTCCCATGTGGAGTGCGAAGAATTTATGGAATGCGAAGAATTCCGAGTATGCGTGGCTGGTATAGAGACCACATAGGGAAATTTCGCGGCCAGAACCAAAATTCCAATCCCAAAGCCGGCCCAAACTTCCAGGGGCACACCAGTGGGTTCTATTTTTCCAAGTTCACCTTGGGTGAGGTCCCGGGGAAGAAACTTGCTAATTTTTACTTAGCCAACCTTTAAAAACGTTACCTTTGACAACCCTGTCCTTCTTCTGTAGACAAATGAGGAAACTTCCTTATCAAAGCAGCCTTCAATTCATTCAACGTCCACAGCTCCTTTGGAACGACATAGGGGATAGAAAGCTGTGGAGGGGCATTCAATGGATTCGCCGTGGGCCAACTGTTCCCTCCAGATTGAGCTGAAATGCCTATCAAAGTAACATACCAAAACTCAGGTCTGGAGTACGATGAAAACATGGTATGCAAAGATTTTCTGAATATGGGAATGTTGCCTTTAGAATAGTTGTTCTTATGTTGTTCTTACTATCATTAGTATTATCAATATTGTTATGATCATTATTACTAGTATTATGATAAAATATCATTACCATGATTATCATTATTTCAAACTGCTATTATTATTCATTATCAATATACATATATAATCATTTTGATATACATATGGGTATATATATATATGGTATTTAATATATAATGATACAACCATATTATGGCTATTGAGTAATTACGCAGTGGGATGATAGGCTGGCTTTCTTCACCGTTGAGCAACCACAGCATACTGTCCATCTGTCCATTTGAGACGGCCAAAGGAGATGTGGAACAAATCCTAAACTGGGGTCAGAATGGGAAACTCTTAACTGAGCCGCCAAAAGTTGACCATCATGTTTTAATTGCCCAGCCGTTTTGCATACCGTCGACTACATGAAATCAACAAACGTATTCGCTGACTAATGCATTGACAGTTGTTGAATGCTCAAATGACTCGAACAATCATGAAGAGTTATATAATCAAACACATTTCATCAACACATTCTATGGGATACATCATGTATATATATATATAATTATAGTTAATCATTCTATATAATGGAGGTTATGATAATCTTTCATGGGTTATCATATTCTTCCATCTAACCAGCCATGGTTCGGAGATCCTAAAGGATCCAGTCCGGCTTCGCTTAGGAGATCTTGGGGGCTGCAGTTGCGCTAAGAAATATGGCTTCGTAGCCATACGGGGTGTATCCCAACGTCTGGTTTAACCATACGAAACTCATGCTTGATGGTTAATGATACAAGTTAACCCGTGAAACCCACTCATTTTCACCTAATTGATTGTAGTGGATATAATATACCAATAAAACAAAACTTAAAACAATAAAACTGACCCCAGTTGTGCGCCCCAACCAAATATCATTAATCGTTCCTTAGTTATATCCCCTTATATACCCAAATACTTGGTTGGCTTCTCCATGAAAAGCTACTCAGCCCCCGCTCCCCACACCCCCCCGGCACCGAGAAACGTAACGCCTCTTGCCGCTCAATGGTCATCTGTGGTCATCGCGGTATCCACCGCTTGGGGCTGGCAGCCTGGTTCTGCCAGGTGTCCAGTTTGGAGAGGTCAAAATGGCAGATTCACCAAGCGAGCATGGGGTGATTGAAACGAGAAAAAGCAGATTTATCCGGATCTATGGTTCATTTATGGTAGCTAAGTTGACAAACATGTATAACTATAATGCAGTAACCTTTATAGGGCTTATGGTCATTGGAACTCTAGTTAAACTGGTAGGTAGTAAGCGACTTGCAACTTGGCAAGATCGCCCCGATCTTTGCACCACGGCAGAACTCTGCCAATATACTGTACCCAGATATGTGATGATATGCGTTCATGGTAATTTCTGAATACACAATCCGCAGAGGGAATGTGGATTGTAGAAATACCATAAAGCTCCAATCATCGAGGATTGAGGATTGACATGGATTGGCTACCCTCTGGTAAACTAACTATGGAAAATCACCATTTTTAATGGGAAAATCCACTATAAATGGCCATTTTCAATACCAGAGGCTATATCCGTCCTTTCACGGTCTATCACCCCTTGTCGAATTGGCAGCATCAAAATGGTGCCCTGAAATCTCATGGACCAAAAACAGCCAGCCTCACTTTTTTTCAATTTGAATGATCATCCCATAGTTGGAAAACAAACACATATGGATTTATGGTTTCAACCTACCAGCAAGGTTGGTAATATACTATTAATATTAATGGTTAATATTATATAATGGCTATTATATGGTTAATGATGGTTAATAATAATCTGGTTGGTGGTATACCTACCCCTCTGAAAAAATATGAAAGTCAGTTGGGATTATTATTCGCAATATATGAAAAAATAAAAAATGTGCTAAACCACCAACCAGTAACAAATTTACTGACCTGAAATAAGGACAAGAACATTTTGGGATAGCAGTGAGGCCCTTGTAATTCACCCACATATTTCTTTGAAATCATCTACCAGCTGAAGCCCCAATTTGTGCGACCCCAAAATAAATGGATCCAACCATTTCCACTGTTCATTATTACCGTTCAAGGGCTAGAGGAAGAGCCCCAGTTTTGAGTTGATTTATAACCCCATCTAACTGCATGTAGATATCAATTCTAATCCCCAGTCAACCTAGCTGTAAACCAACTTAACAATCTACTGTAGTCTACGGGGGGGCCTTCCTGTACTATTGAAACGTGGAACCTGTCAGGACCTATCTTCACCCATCATCTCCCGTACTTCTGCGCATCATATGCCTTCCAACTTACTTTCTAACCTGACAACGATGAAAGAACACACATCTAACAGTATCAGCACATCGATCCTTGTTCTATTTATAGATGTGTATATAATCAATACCCTTTGGTAATTTAACATAGCTATGGAAAATCACCATGATGAATGGGAAAATCCACTATAAATGGTCATTTTCAATAGCTATGTTAGTTTACCAGAGGGTACTCTTGATCAAAATGTTTCCCCATTAAACATCTTCAACATCTCAAGCCTTAGGATCTCCCAGCCATCCTCAACTCTTCGCCTGCTCCCTGTGGGAGGATCATCTGGCGCGTCGCTTGGCACGCCTATGGGGCTGCAAGGTTGGGTAGGACGGGCTATGATGGGCTGCGCAGTCTTGTGGCTGTTGGTTTATGTTACCCCAACTATAGAACACAATAGATATATCATGATATATATGATATGTATATACAATATCATATATCCATGATAACACCCCAAATTGATCTGGTTACCTTAATCAAATCAAACATGAAGGCCCATCCCTGCAAGATCTTATGTGAAATTATGTTTTGTGCTTTGATCATCTTTAATCCGTGTTTACCCTCTGGTAATCAAACGTTGCAATGGAAAATCCTCTATGAATGGAGGTGTGCATGATGAGAAAATCACATATACATGGAGGATTTCCAATTTCTATGATTTCCTGAAGGGATCCATCATTGCTTTGCTGGGTCTTCAACATGTCCTGAAGTGCTTGGTGCCATGCCCTGCAGGAGGAGATGAAAATGAAACTGGAGGGTTTGTAGGTAAGATATGGTAAGACTTTAAATCTAAAACCGACCATTTTGCAGGTCATTCAGATATTGAATTTTGCCCATGGGTATTAACAATGCTACAACATTGTTACAGTATAAGATGTTGTAGGTTTATCAATATGTTGTCAACTATATTCAGATTCATGACATGTTATGGAAAAACAGTTATCGCATTGACCATTTTTTGATACATAACTATTGGGCGACGTTTGACAAACAAATGACCCACCATGTTCAACTGACAATCCGCCATGACTTCCGGTCCCCGGTCCACCAGTCCTCTAGCTCTCCAAGAGATCACCCTGGCGGCGTTCGCCATCATCACGGCAGTTTTCCGCCAATCCTCCTCTGTCTCAGGCTCATTTGGTCGGCAGCCGGCAGCTTGGAGAAGTATGCCCAAGGACGAACACACCATTGACCAACTAAGAATTATAGTCTTGGACACAACAATCTTCAACATAGAGTCATAGAGTCAATGCTCACAGCCGGCTTTTCGCCCCTCGTCCGTAGGAGACATCTCTGCCGACGAGACTTGGGTCCCTCCGGTCCCTTGTTGCAGGGCGTCATGGGTATGACCTGATGGGTTCCTTAGTACCTCACCCATTTTTTGGACACAAAAAGTGACAGACTGAAGAACTAAAGGACCACACATTCCAAATAACATGATCAATATGAATGAAGATAAACAGTGTTTAATCATGTTTAATCCAATCATTAACATGAATATGATATGTTTTTTTCAGCTTCATTTTTCACTGGGATTTACCCTTTGGTAAACATACAAGAAACCATGGAAAGATCCACCATGTTCAATGGGTAAATCCACTATTTCTATGGCCATTTTCACTTGCTTTTTGTATGTTTACCAGAGGGTATTTAATGTTTTGTTCTGAATCATATGGCCACAGATTCACCCATTACCGCCGCAACAAAAACCGGCCTGCATCCGCATCATCAACCTGACCCAGGTGAACCACATGGCCAATCCTGGATACACGGCAATTGCTTTTTGAAAGCTGGGTAACTTGTTAATAAACATATAGTATTTTATGTATATATATATATATATATATTATGTATATGATATACCAACTGATCGCAACACTGTTACGTACTTAAGGTGAGATTTGGCAGAGCATCAGCGCCATGATCCAAAAATAAACCAGGTGCGATCCAGACTGCGTTGCAGTATTTGAGTGACCAAGAGTGCAGAGCAGGCCAACGGTGGTGCCCCCCCAGGGGCCCACCGTAGTGGAGAGCGGAATTAAGGACGTCGAAGTTTCCGGAGGCAACTCCGAGAAAAAAAACTTTTCCATGATGATCAGCCCGTTTGTCATTGCTGCCCATAGGTCGAACAATGATTTCATTTATGCTGGGCGGCCACAGGCCTGCAGGATTGCGACCAGGGCTGCCACCACCGTCTCAAAGCTCTGGATGCGGGGCTCCACGTTGTGCACCTGCATGAACACTAGCGCTACCGAAGCGAACACCGAAAAGTTGGTGATGTCCGAGGTGTTCATCGTGAGGCTATGCAGGGCTTGAGCTAGACCAAAAGCTCGTTGAAATGGACACAAATCAGCTTCACACAATCTGCCGGATTTTCCAAGTCGAACTCTGTCGGTTTTTCTGCGTTTCGCGTCTTGATGGCCGACGCAGGCTCAGGGGATGGCTTCTCCTTCCTTCTCTTGGAACGTTGGAATCTTCGTGATCTGGACGGCGAAAAAAACATGGGGGTCGCTGCGAAAATCTCATCGTCATCTCTCTGGTTCAACCAAACATGTGTTCAAAATATGTCGAAATGTCTAGTGTACGTATCCTTCAGAATCGCCAGTTCTGTCCATTCTCATTACTATATAATATATATATATATACAGTAATTATACGAACCCTGGTTGGTGGTTTCAACCCATCTGAAAAAAATGCTCGTCATTGAAAAATAAAAAGATCTATGAAACCACTAACCAGATCATCATTGGCTATATCCCCAACAGATCTCCGTGATATCTCCATTTTTGTCCTAGTTCAAGCCCCATGTTTCATGGTAAATTCCATGATATTCCACGTTTGTTGGTTAAATACCTGTCATTTATCAAGTTACATCATCCTTTTTTTCTAGTTAGAACCCCATTTTGCATGAGAAACATGTTCATAAACCAACAATCATAACTGGGGGGCACCAGCTTGTAAATTCCCGTTGCTGTGTCCCTAAATGAATCATAGCTAGACCCCCAAATGGATGCGCAATCCATAGGCATTTTAGCAAATCATATATTATTCATGGTGAAATCCATTGAGTTTGTATCCATATTTACCTTCTGGTAATTTAAGAGTTTGCTACATAGAAAATGGCAAACTAGAAATAGTTATGATTTACCCAGCTATAAAATGGTGGATCTTTCCATAGTTATGATAGTTATGTAAACGTTTACCAGAGGGTAACCATGTTGTTTTTTGGGATATTCAATCTGGCTGGGTGGTTTTGAGCCATCCTGGTGCATCGATGGTCATTTCAACCATCCCAAACTTGTATGGTTGAAGAAGAACCAACATATTTGAACCCACCAACCAGTTGAACATGTTAGCTCTCTATCCATTGTATATACCAAGAATTTCATATAATTTCCCTACTTTAGATTGTTAAATCACTTAAATCCCCTATTTTTAATCCTAGATCTTTTTCTGTTTCCGAAGTCATAGGAATATCATGGAATATCCCCAAATCATCCCAAATCATCCATTTATTACGTGTTTCATTCATTTTTCCATTATGAACCAATATAAACCATTCAGCTATTGGGGTACCCGCTATAGGAAACCGACCCCCGGCTCCACAGCACCTGGTCACCACTGTCACTCACCCGGCGTCGCATCATGGTCACGAAGGCCTACATTCACGGCGGGCGATGCTTCACCGAGGCTTTGAGCTACGGAGTTTCCGTTCATTATAGATATCGATTTTAAATATGGTTAATATATGGTTAATATATGGTTAATATATGGTTAATGATGGTTATTATAGGGTTAATGATGGTTAATAACTATAATCTGGTTAGTGGTTGAGCCCTACCCCTCTGAAAAATAGGATTTCGTCAGTTGGGATGATTATTCCATTCCCAACTGAATGGAAAGTCATAAAATTCCATGGTTCCAAACCATCAACCAGTAGATGTTCATGGCGATGATTCAGCTACTGACTGCGACTGCGAGATGCTCCAATTCCATCCGCCCTGCCTGGTAGTCACTGACGGCCAGTAAGGAATCAGCCAAGTCGCGGGCCAAGCCTTACCCCCAAGCCCCACTGATGGATGTCATCCAAGGAATTTTGTATCAATTCGGTATCAAGTTTTAGGGGTTGGTTGGGAAGTGCTTAGGGTGCTGTCAGCTTTTGATGCATGGTGGCACGCAAACAATCCGCTTTTGCGGGCTACAACATGCCCCAACATGTCCACTGGGGGTGTTTTTGTTTGATGGAAGAAAAACTGGAAACACGGCATAGAATCAATGGCCATCTCAGGATCCTAAATTGGAGGTACCTACCATATATAAGGCCTATATAATTCCCATTGATAGAAATTGCTTAAACAAAAATGTGAAGATCCCATGGGAGAAATCGTGTTTTTTTCGGTTCCTGAACTGCGCCAACTGTTGGCGCAAAGCGAAATCCACCGTTTTTTTATCACCATTTGCTGTTGGTTCAAATCCCCAAACTCACTAAATGTTGTTGGTTCTTTCAACTGGCCAACATTCAAGCAAAGTTAAACACTAATTCAAAATACATGATATAAATGTTGGTTGACTTACCAGGCACTGACCCGAAAAAAGCACTCGTCACTCATCTGTTTCAGCCAAGGACACCGCCCCCCACTGGGCTCTGATGCTGGCTGGCTTGTCAGCAGAGATGGCTAAGACCTCAGGGCCTCAGCGACTGCCGAAAATGCTTGGTGAATAGTTGATGAACTTCTTTTATGGTGGTATATATATATATATGGTTATGATATCATATCATATTAACATTGATTAACATTGGATGTTATTGGGAATTCCATCATGAAGTATGATAATATATGATAATCCCCAATATCTCGGGTAGTGTAAGCCCTTATAATATAAGCATACACCAACGCCAAGAGGTGGTGCCCTCCGGATATAAGTTGGGACACCACCTAGCCAGGTTATCCCATTATTTCTGAGGCGGGGTGTTTAATATTTTGGGAAGGGATTATGATTAACATGTTGCAACCATAGGCAACCTTGGATGCCCAACAAAATGTCTATTTAGTATTCTTTAGCTGGGTATGAAACATGAACACATTCGCCATTTGATTCTTGCAAAAGCAGCTAGGGTTATGTAACCCAGTGTCTAGCTGCTAGCTGTTCCCGACAGGCAAACCGGACCACACTGCACCATCCGCAAGATCAAGCAAGCGCAAGAAACTTTTTTTGAACAGAATGAATCTGTCAAATAGACAGACATCTATCATCTCTCGTGATCTCTGGTGGAACATTTGGCTCTTGAAGAGGGGGTGCTGCCTGTACTTTCATCAATACCCAAAGAGGTTAACATTCGTCACGGAAGAAGTGCTGCGAACCCCACACACCTGTCAAATTCTCTGGATATGGTGTCCTTTAGGTCATTCAACGGTTCCGTGCATTTCAGCCGTCTTGTTCCGCCAGAATCACCCAACTGCATCTGCGTTCACCGCATAAACAAAGGGGGGCTGGACCACACCAGCCCATCAACTTTCCGTGCTGCCCATGATTTCGGAAGGTTTTGTGCATTTCAAGTTCCAGCTTCACTGGTTACCAGCACATAGCGCCATGACTTTCTACTGTATTGGCGGGATCAAGGGGACTGTTTCTAGGTTTCTATTCCAAGTTTACAGTAGGTCGGTTCATATTTATGGCTTTAAATGGATTTTAAAGGCATAATTTAGTGGACCTACAAAATGGTTCATCTTTGGTGTTAAACCATCAATACTTGGGGAAACAACAACTGTTGGAGCCGGTCACCGGAAGCCAGGCTTTGATGCGACAGGGCTCCACTTGTTGACCTCACTTGTCTTGCACACCGTCCACATGCAGGGCACAGACTTGGCTCTTGTAACCTCACAACGGGGCAGTTGATGTTGATTCTTCGAACGGGAGTCCCATGAAATGCCTGATACATTCAGAATATATATATGTAGATATTTGATATAATTTCATATATTAATGTGATTTAATGTATATATATATATATGAATATGCCCTACACCTCCAAACAACTTCTGAAACTGTATTTGGAGTCTTTCTGGGTGTCTGTTTACACCTTCTCATTTGGGGTATTTGGAGCACATTCGGGAAGTGTGAAGACATCATCTCCGAGACACCAGCTAGGTTCATAGCCTACAATCACTAGATCATCATGGTCAACTGGTTGCCAACGTTCAGCACAGTTCAGCTGTAGAACTCTGGGGACCAGGATGAACCAGGTGACCTGGGGACCCCTGATGATGTCATAGCCAAAGCTACTGCCACTTGATAGTGATGTCGGAGCAGTCCAGAATCACTATTAGAATCACTAATTGGTTGGATTGACCCCATTCTAACCATCAGCCAACCACCAGTTCTGGGATATACATGGATATTTACCATCCTGTAACTTGACATAGCTACGGAAAATGAATGAACATGGCCCATTTATAGTTGATTTACCTATTAAAGATTGTGATTTTCCATAGTTATGTAAACGTTTACCAGAGGCTACCACTAATGTACTATGGGGGTATATCCCCGTGCGTGGCCGACGCCGAGGCACGGCTCTTGTTGTTGTCGTCTTTGGTATCCAGACGCTCTGTGAAGACCACATACAAGATCTCACGAGGAAGTTGGAGCTGAGTTGCCCGGAGTTCATGGAGATATACCCGCTGGTAATGACTAACATAGCTATTGAACATGGCCATAGACATAGTTGGTTTTCCCATGAAACATGGTGATTTTCCATATAGTTATGTAAACGTTTACCAGAGGGTTATGTTTAGGAAGAACTTGGTCAGCCACAGGCTGAGAATCCTGGAAATAATTATTTTGTCATTTTTTTGTCATTTTTCTGTCATTTGGCCTTGTCATTTTTTTGTCATTCCTAAATTCTACCTGTCATTGTTCTGTCATTTTTCTGTCATTTGTGCTGTCATTTTTGTGTCTTTTTCTGTCATTTGATCTGTCATTTTTTTGTCATTTGCCTTGTCATTTTTTTTGAGCTGGTTTTCTTTGATTTCTTCACTTTTTTCATTTGTTTTCGTTGTTTCTCTTCATTTTTTCATTGGTTTCCTTCATTTTTTGAATAGTTTTCTTTGAATTTATCATTTTTCCAATTGCTTTCTTCAATTGTTCAATGGATTTATTGATTTCATGCTAGAAAATTAAAGAAAATTTCGAAAAATTAAAGAACAACATCAAAAATTGTAGAAAATGATAGGAAAATGATAGAAAAATGACAGAAAAATGACAAAAAAATGATAAAAACCCAAGGTTTTTAACAATTTTCATTTTTTTTCTGGTTCATGAAACTTTGTCATTTTTTTGTCATTTTTTTGTCATTTTTTTGTCATTTTCCTTCATTTTTTCATGCTTTTCCTGTATTTTTCTAATTTTTCAATGGTTTTCCGGTTTTCCTTGATTTTCTTCAATTGTCTATTGGTTTTCTTTGAGTTCTTTACTTTTTTCATTTGTTTTCGTTGTTTCTCTTCATTTTTTCATTGGTTTCCTTCATTTTTTGAATAGTTTTCTTTGAATTTATCATTTTTCCAATTGCTTTCTTCAATTGTTCAATGGATTTATTGATTTCATGCTAGAAAATTAAAGAAAATTTCGAAAAATTAAAGAACAACATCAAAAATTGTAGAAAATGATAGGAAAATGATAGAAAAATGACAGAAAAATGACAAAAAAATGATAAAAACCCAAGGTTTTTAACAATTTTCATTTTTTTCTGGTTCATGAAACTTTGTCATTTTTTTGTCATTTTGTTGTCATTTTTCTGTCATTTTTCATTGATTTCCTTCATTTTTTCATGCTTTTCCTGTATTTTTCTAATTTTTCAATGGTTTTCCTTGATTTTCTTCAATTGTCTATTGGTTTTCTTCATTTTTCACTAGTTTTTTTTGATTTCTTCACTTTTTCATGTGTTTTCTTTGTTTCTCTTTATTTTTTTCATTGGTTTCCTTCATTTTTTGAATAGTTTTCTTTGAATTTCTCATTTTTTCAACTGTTTTCTTCACTTTCTCAATGGATTTATTGATTTCATGCTAGAAAATTAAAAAAATTCGAACAATTGAAGAAAATCATCAAAAATTGTAGAAAATGATAGGAAAATGATAGAAAAATGACAGAAAAATGACAAAAAAATGATAAAAACCCAAGGTTTTTAACAATTTTCAATTTTTTTCTGGTTCATGAAACTTTGTCATTTTTGTCATTTTTTTGTCATTTTTTTGGCGTTTTTGATTGATTTCCTCCATTTTTTCATGCTTTTCCTGTATTTTTCTAATTTTTCAATGGTTTTCCTTGATTTTCTTCAATTTTCTATTGGTTTTCTTCATTTTTCACTGGTTTTCTTTGATTTCTTTACTTTTTTCATTTGTTTTCGTTGCTTCTCTTCATTTTTTCATTGGTTTCCTTCATTTTTTGAATAGTTTTCTTTGAATTTATAATTTTTCCAATTGTTTTCTTCACTTGTTCAATGGATTTATTGATTTCATGCTAGAAAATTAACGAAAATTTCGAAAAATTAAAGAATAACATCAAAAATTGTAGAAAATGATAGGAAAATGATAGAAAAATGACAGAAAAATGACAAAAAAATGATAAAAACCCAAGGTTTTTAACAATTTTCATTTTTTTTCTGGTTCATGAAACTTTGTCATTTTTTTGTCATTTTTTTGTCGTTTTTCATTGATTTCCTTCATTTTTTCATGCTTTTCCTGTATTTTTCTAATGTTTCAATGGTTTTCCTTGATTTTCTTCAATTTTCTATTGGTTTTCTTCATTTTTCACTGGTTTTCTTTGATTTCTTCACTTTTTCATTTGTTTTCTTTGTTTCTCTTTAATTTTTTCATTGGCTTCTTTCATTTTTTGAATAGTTTTCTTTGAATTTCTCATTTTTTCAACTGTTTTCTTCACTTTCTCAATGGATTTATTGATTTCATGCTAGAAAATTAGAAAAAAATCGAACAATTAAAGAAAATCATCAAAAATTGTAGAAAATGATAGGAAAATGATAGAAAAATGACAAAAAAATGACAAAAAAATGACAGGGACAAGGGACAGGACCAAAACAAAAAACAACAAAAAAATGACAGAAAAATGACATAAAAATGACAGGGACAAATGACAGGACAAAAAAAAACGACAAAAGCAAATGACAAAAAAATGACAATGCAAACGACAAAATAATTATTTTCATGTACCCCAGTGTGTGGCTGCAAGTGCCTTCTAAGGTTATGTGATATAAGAATGGTACAATAGGTAGAATGGTACGATATGGTACGAAAAGCATCGCTAAAACCAAATCTGATCATGGAGTCATGGAGTGTTGAACCTGGGGGGTAGAATGGTGATTTAAGAATCAAAGATCCTGGTAGAATTGGGATTTGGCAGCAATTCTGCTTGTGGCTCCAGCGCATCAAATGGGGTGTGGGGGGTAGAATGAGATAAAGTTGGGAGCCGCTACCTATCAAATATTAGGGGATATGAAACCAGCAAAAATATGCAAAACTTATCTCAGCATGTTGCAACCCTTCCGGGGCCTGGGAACTACGAGCCCCAGGTGGAGCCACATTTTTTTTCGTTGCTACCTCTTACAACTGGGATACCCAGTTGAAGAACTAGCATCATGGCGAACTCACAGATCTGACTGCGAAATATATAGCAAATGTTCCAACAAACACTTGCATGCCATGGCACATTCTTGGCTTCTGCGTCATAGATTCCTTGGCCAAGGGCCAATTGGGCACCAATATTAGATGACGAAAAACGAATCTCCCCCGACTTGGGATGACGCAAATAGATCATCAGCCAGCGAAAGTTTAGGGAATTCCATGTGGTTCTTCAATGCTCGGTCTACTCAGACCATGGCTGGGTTAACCCTAGCTGGATCTGGGATTCAAGCCACAAACCATCATAAATCGCTTCTCAGATGATCCAGCGCAACAACTCAGTGGTACAGTTGGTGATGAGTTGCTCTGACAGCTTTCCAGTGTTTCACCCCAATGGCGAGCCCTTGGAACGGCTGCATCAAATTTCAGTTCGACATCTCTAAAGAACGGCTTGGATCCAATTGTCTACCCTCTGGCAATTCAGTATAGTTGTGGAAAACGGTTCATTTATAGATTATGAATAATATAATATATATATATACACCTATTAAAAGTGGTGATGTTCCATAGTTATTGCAGGATCATGAACGATCAAAGCCTCCAACGATGCGTTTGGACGTCCAAGGCACGTTTCACCTTCAAGGTTTTGAAGAGCAAAGATCTCGCCTGGACATTTGCACCGTGCCATCGTGTCTCATCATATCCCAAAAACATTTGGGCAGGAGAAACCAATGTGCCGTTTCCGTGTGATTTTGTTCAAAATGTCCAGGAACAAAGAACACTAGTTGGTGGTATACCTACCCCTCTGAAAAATATGAGTTAGTTGGGATGATTATTCCATTCCCAACTGAATGGAAAGTCATAAATTCCATGGTCCCAAACCACCAACCAGAACACAACAAATTCCAATCAAGAAATTTCCATCATGGAAATCCCATGCCGCTAAAAGTGGAGTTGGCTGGGGTGAATCTCAACATGTTCATTGCTTCAGACTCCATCGGACCATCGGGGTCTTCTCAAAATTTGCTATCCCAAAATCCTGGGGAAAAATGCCATTAAAAACCATTAGAACATATTAGAACTACGGTAACTACATTTAAATATACGGACTTTTAAATATATGAACAGGTATTTTAGACTACCTCTGGGAAGGTTTTCCTTGGCCCGCCCGGCCATTTAAACATACGGAATCCGATGCATTTAAACATACTGCAACTATACATTTAAATGTACGAACTGGTATTTCATACTACCTCCGGGGCCTCGCGGTCTGGCCCGCCCTCCACATATTTAAATGTTGTTACCGTATACTATGACATATGTATCATGGCATAATCATAGCGACTTACTGGCTTTAATGTCCTACCAAGATCTACCGCCCGGGGCCTAAGGCCTAAGTATCCGAATCCTTTTCAGATACCGATCCAGCATATGGGGAAGCATGGCAAAATACTCCCCATTATGCCACGAAAAAGTCCAATATATCCATCATTAATCATGTTAATCATGCATCAAGAACTTTTCTTTGAACACATATGAAGAAATCTCAAATCCCAAAAACTTCGGTTAAAACCCATGGAAAACCCATGGATCATCATAATCATCATGGAGCGTTTCGACTCCGTTCTCCCACGTGTCTCCCGTTTCGAGACCTCGGTGAAGACGTCTTCACCCTCCTTGTTGGCCTTGACGTCCGCCGCAATCTTCACTGGACCGCTCTTGGCGCAGGTCAGTCCCGCGGCGCCGGGATCCGAAAAAAAATCGCCTGGCGGGGGCCCTGTCTGGCCATGGTTTGGAGGTTTCCCAATGGGAAACCCTCTGGTAATGACTAACATAGCTATTGAAAATGACCATTTATAGATATTTATAGTGGATTTACCCATTGAAAATGGTGATTTGCCATGGTTATGTTAGTTTCCCAAGTCTACCCCCAGTCATCATCCAAGTCATGGACCGTGACTTAGTCAAAGACCCTATAAAGGTGACATCTGATACATCAGAAAAGCCCCAATATTTGAGTTACCCTCTGGTTATGACTAACAGTTCGCCATGGAAAATCCACCCATTTTATAGCTAGGTAAACCATCTATTTCTATGGGCCATGGCTTAACCATGGCTATGTTAGTCATAACCAGAGGGTATGTTAAACAACATCTATAAATGGGATTAAAACTATAGATGGTTATCACCATCAACAATACAACTATAACTACTGGTTATCACCATCTATACCACGGCTATGTAACAAATACCCTCTGGTAAATTAACATAGCTATTGAAAATCACCATTTATAGTGAGTTTTCCCATGAAAAATGGTGATTTTCCATAGTTATGTTAAATTACCAGAGGGTAACCAGAGGGATTCAGATTTCTTCAACATGAAGATTTCTGGATCTCGTGGCTCAGGTGCCTTTGGAGACACGGTCAGCCATTGAGCGCGAGAAGTCCGAGATGTACAGCGTCACACCGGTCACCTTCGGATCCTGGGGATCGCGCGAAAGGCAAAAGTGCCGTTGATGAAACATCCCCAAAACTGATCTATGGGAAGATAAAGCATATATGGGAATATCATTAAATATGTAATATCATTGCAGTATATAATGTTTAAAACAATGATATCATATGATTCCATGATGTTTTTTAATATTTGTATGTAGATATGGGAACTATTGGGAAACGATCTAAAATCTAGACATGTCTATACAGTCATAGCACGTTTGGCATGGACAAAGGTGGGAATCAGCTGGGAAAATCACAGTTGAGCCTGGTATGAAGCGAAATTAGAACAATTGCACCAACTTGAAACATGGCCAACCTAGATAATTACCCTGCAGAACAATGGTTTCTTAGCCGGTCAGTAAACATCCCCCATGTTTTTCGCAAACAAAAGAGCCGCCGCCCCACCCAACCCATCCAAAGATAGAACTGTTAAAGTTATCCTCTTGCAAACGCTTTTTTCATAGATGCGGAATCTACCCACCATGAAAGCATAGATGATTGTCCGAACGGAAGAACCACATGGGTAAACTCCACATCCCCGACCTCAAAGGCTTCCACATTGATGGTGTCCTACCGTGGAGAGCGACCATGGAGAACAAAAAGCGGTTTGGAGGTCGGAATGCTGCCTCCATTGCCAATCTGGGACAATATTTTTAAAACCCTGCAAAAAAAAAACACAGTTCTTAGTTTGTTAGATTAAGATCCAACGCAATATAACACAAATAACACTAACGAACTCAGAAATCCTGCTTGTTAGATCTTGTTATCGTGTTAGAAGTCGCTATTTTTCAATCGCTGATGAAATTCATTCTGGATGAACCACTAGCCATCCAAGCTTGACCCAGAATCATTGCACCCCCTTTATAATGAATTTCGATAAAATTCTTGGGTTCCATGACATGTTTAGAGCAGGTAGTACATAATGGTAATGGTTTATGATGGTTTGTGACAGTTTATAATGATAGTTAGGAATGATTCGTAGTTGTTTGTATTGGCTGGTAATTCCATGTACCCTCTGGTAAACTAACATAACTGTGGAAAATAACAATTTTCAATGGGTAAATCAACGAACTAAATGGCCATGTTCAAAAGCTATGTCAGCTATGTTGGTCATTACCAGAGGGTAATGGCTCCTAAGCAGCTCGTTTCTTGATTCTTCATGCTTCGTTCAAAGAACAGCTGACCCTGCGGATACGTAGGGAACAACCAATGGAACGAGGATGGCAGGGCGGCAAGTCCACCACCCCTGCATATCCCATATGGTACCCGAAGCCATAGCTGGTTTACTGGTTTAGCAGGATGTGAATAAAAACATGTGAATAAACCCCCATATGGATTCATATGGTAATTTCATAGCTACCCATCACTACTGGATTATGGTCATGGTTACTGAGAACATGATTCATGGTGTTGACCGGGTAGATCATATACAAAGTGACTATTCATGGGCTCAAATGGTGCATGAATGGAAATTTCATGCCATTTTAATGAGGTTTCATTCACTGGGTCAATGACATCAATCCCTTTAAAGTATACCAAACACCCAGTGATTTCATCGAAAAACCATCCAAAAACCGAGGTTTTTTAACGTTACTTGTGGGAATGTCTGCTGTGGCTTTGTCTGCAAATAGTAGCAACATCCAGTGGTTCAACATATTCCAGTGCTCCAACATGGTGGATCCAAGAAACCCAAGAAACCCAGGTTTCGTTTTGGGGTAGAAAAAACATTGGGTAAAAAAATTGGGTTCATCACACACAACATCTGAAACACGTCATTTCTTGGTATGCACATGTGAAATCATGTGAATATGTTTTCATATTTCACGTTCATGGATTCTAATATTCCCCAATACATTGGTTGCATAGTATAATCCCCAAACTAATCATCAACCAACCATCATATTTCTACAACATGATGTTCATGTGTCTTAAATTGCGTCCCTATTAAACGATCTATCTAAAACACATTTATCAGGTACATCCACTCATATCCCATGATATTTTCATGGGATTTTGACATCTCATCAACCAACAGGGAGGATTTCAACAGTGTTACCCTCTGGTAAACTAACGTAGCTATTGAAAATGGCCATAAAAAGCTCGTTGATTTACCCAGCTTTTTTAAATGGTGGATCTTTCCATATAAATCACCATTTTCCCATGGTTTTCCCATGCTTTTTACGTTTACCAGGCCGGGTTACCAGGCGCCACAACCGGCCCTGTGCTGTGCCTTGAAGATAAAGCCACTGGCCGGGATCTCGCCCACCACGCGCTTGCTCTCTGCAAAGGCAGGGAAGCTGGTGAGGCCCCCCAGCAAGGCCTGGCAGAAAATCTATGGTGATTCATGGTGATTGTAACAGAAAATGGGGAACTAATTGGCTTGAACCAAGTAAGTTGAACATAGTTGAACTATATCAAATATATGAGTTGATGAACGGTTCTCGAAGTTGGTTGAACTAAGTATGCGCACACGATTGGATTTATTGGATATTGGGATATGAACTCATCTGGTTGGTGCCCATAACCATAAAACACATATTAGTGAACGGTTTTTTACCATCCGAAATAGGATGAACGATTATATAAACATATTCCAAGCCATCAACCAGCTATGAAGCTGAGTTTGTGTGTTGTTGATCCTTGCCACACCTCCATGATAATTACAGTACAAACAAACCATGTCATTTGACCATTTTCGGATGCCCAACTTTGCAGAAGATAGAGCCCACAACCGCTCAGCTCTCCGCTCCCTCCGATAACCACTGAATGTATATATATATAATCTTGTTCACAAACAATTAGAATTCACCTGATATCCCATTATTATATGTTCCTATATTTTACATCTGTTTATATGTATACGTAATATATATATATGATTATATATGATTATTAGTAGTAGTATTATTATCATCATCATTATTATATATTATTATTACTATTATTATTATTAATATCTATACATATTACGCAACCCCTTGTTGCTCCAAGACACCAGCGATAAGCAAAACGCTCCTTGAACGCTTCGGACAAGGTCCTTAGACGGAGGCTCGATGCTCGCCATGTACTGTACATGGTTAAGCTATGTTAAGCTTGCCTACCCTCAAAAGTAACTCCATGAATGTGGAATAATTGTTCAACGAAAAACTCCACTCAACAAAAAATGGCGCCATTTAACATACCACAGCCCGTCATTATATATATATTTGTTGGTTGAAAATATCATGACCAATCAACCAAGGTACTTGGATAATGGCCCAATGTCATCGATCAACACATGACATCAAGTGATTGAACACAGCCACCGAAAGCACCAAGGGATTACCCAATCGCTCCCAAGAGCTGGCTGAAATATGCTAGTGGTGACTCAGTTTCGCTAAGTTGGGTTTACATTTATGTAGAACTAGAAAAAGTATACTTTATGCCAGATTCATAGATCATACCATCTATCATCATAGAAACCTGTTGTTTTTCAGGGCTTTCCAAACAATCCCCTCTATTAATCAACCAATGGGAAAGCCGGACATCTATGGATCATCATAGATCTATCGTTCCTGGTGGTTTCCTGGGGGATTCCAGTTCAGCAGTTCTGCATACCATCCTTCGTGCAGTTTGCTGCTTCAACCCCAGGTTTCTCATCGTTTGTTCTGAGGAACATGCCCGTGATGAAACATGGTCAAACATGGTCCACACTCACCTGATCCAAAGCCTCCAGAAAACTGTCTTAGAGTCTTGGCAATATGGAGAATCTTAGAGTCTTGGCAAGAATATGTAGAATTATCCAAGTCTTTGATCAAGCATGTCACATTTTCAGCCAGCTACGTGTGATTGCCATAGACAAGACTACCATGACAAGTGAAGTAATGAAATCCGCGATTTCCCCATGCCTTTGGCCAAGTCCTACATGTCGTCCATTCAGAGTTTCTCCCAACTGTGATAAGTCAGGGGTGTGCGGTTAAAACACCATAAAACACCTAGAAAAACCAGCCAACAGTGGCTCTCTTTTCCCTCTGCTAGATCGGAGCAACCATCATGAAAAACCATATTTCAAACCAACATTCATCCGCATATATGGAGGTGTCCTGGAACAGGGGCAGCACCAAAAATCATCCAAGTCATGGATGACCACTTTAGAATATCGAAACCCATAGTGCCATACGGTGCCATGAGCATCCCCCATGACTTAAGAACCTCCCCAATGAGACGGTGAATTGGAGGTCAAATCACCTATTTACATCTATTTGCCACCCAAAAAAGGACCTCTGCTAGATCGGAGCAACCATCCCAAAAAACCATCCCCCAAAAAAACCATCAATTAAACCCATTGATCCCAGGTAGCCATACCCATAAATCAGCCCAGCCACCCAGGGGGCCCCGGACGCTTCGCCCTCGAACTGCCCAGGGCGCTGACGGCCCGCCTCGACTTGGGCGGCCACGCCCTGACGCTGGCGCCGGCCGGGGCCTCAGATGGCGTTCTTTGAACGAAGAGCGGGGGGAGAAAATGGGAAATTCCAATGAAAAACATGGGACAATCTTAGGGATATCTTAGGACATATGGGAAAATCCATGAAATTTTCACTATAAATAGAGGTTGATAGCTGGGGGAATCATCTATAGTGGATATACATTGATATAAAGTAAAAACAAAGGTAGATAAATATAAATGGCAGGAAAAAAACCAATACATAAACTAGGATCTATATGGATCTATGATATATACGTTTATATATAGAATATAATTAACGGAGTTTATAAACCAACTTCAAACTGGGGGGAAGAATGTGGGAAATCCAAGAATAGACCTACCATGATTGGGGATGGTTTGAATCGCACCCATTTATGATTAAACAACACTGCACGCCCACGCACATACACACTTATATGAATTTAAGCACGTATTTATTTTTGATGTACGTTATAGTATAGAGATGTTTTTTTGCTGATGTACGGTGGGTATATCTACAGTGGTGTGGACATAAACCAAACAAACTGAAGGGACCAAGTTTTCCCAACAAAAACAAGTCCCATTGACCAGTTTTGATCTATCCCCAAATAAGGGAGCTGCTACCAGGGCCAAATCCGGCGTGAAATTCTCAGAAAAATTCCAATGTCGAACGTTGCTGAAAAAATCATGAAGTGGTTGGTGATATATTCATTGTATGTCCATATATACCAATAATTTCCGCCCGCACTTTAGATGATCAAATCCCTATAAATGATCTAGAATCTAGATCTGGGTTTTGTTGCATCAAATCATAAAACAAATTTGGAGTCAGGGAAAACTTACAGTATCAGTAACCCTATATTTTGTGGGGAAAGCCATGGTTTCCGGTTAAAATTTTCCCTTAAACCAAGCCCTTTCTACTGGTCCGCCATCATCCAGATGCCTCAGACCTCAACCCCACCCTCGGCGCACCCCGATTCGCGCCCGTTGAGAAAGTGAAGGAAGCGCCTGGCCATGGGACCATCGATTAAGCTTCGCTGGTAATGGTGGGTTGTAAATTATTTGTATATCCCACCATCAATTAAGCTCCATCTATGACATATACTTACTTGGTGGTAAATATCGGTCCATAGATCTGGGACTGAAGAAGAAAAATGGTGATATAAGCAACCACATGACAGTAAGTAAGTGGTTAGTAACTGATTATGGATGGTTAATAGTTATCATGTCTGTGACCTTTAAGCATGTGTAAATGGGAACTGAGATCCGCTGAGATCCGCTGAAAAAAATCATCGCGACATGATCTCCGGTCATTTGATGTAGCTATGGCAGCTATGGTATGGATGGCCCATTTAGTTCGATGTTTTACCGATTTACCTATGAAAAATAGCTATTTTCCATAGCTATGTGAAATTACCAAAGGGTACACTGTACACAAATGTTCTTCCACATCAAACTTGAATCTGTTGCATCGTCCACTTCTCGAGCATCTCGGGACACTAACCATTCAACAGGCCTAGGCAAAAGGCTGCGGCCAGAAACAGGCAGCACAGCCGGCGCGAGCGCAGCGAGCGCATGTCCTCAGGTATCTCAGGTCTAAGGATGTCGACATTCCGAGAGCATCCTGAAACTTCCACAGCTAAGTCACAGTTTGGATATCCCTCTAAACGGGCTAACATAACTATGGAAAAAATCACAATTTTTAAGAGGTAAATCAACTATAAATGGATCATTTTCAATAGCACACTGTTAGTTTACCAAAGGGTATCCCTCCAATTTTCAGCGTATAATGTCCTCAGCTCTGTGCGGGATTGTTTCTGAATTTCCAAAGACTCAAACTAACTATAATTTACTCTCTGGTCATTTAACATAGCTATGGAAAATGGACCATTGATAGTTGTTTTACCTATTAATCAAAATGGTGATTTGCAATAGCTATGTTAGTTTACCAGAGGGTAGTTGCTTTGATGATATACTGAAGCCACCAAAATGGCGTTTGTGCCATTCTTAGCAGCTCAAACAGCATCGATTTTGGGGGTCTTCAGATTTTGACCAACATTCTGAAATAAACAAAAACCACAACCCCCTCCAAAATCTGCCTATTCCAAACCACCAACCAGTTCTGTATTGATTCTATGTCCATTATATCCCATTGCATCCCCATGTTGGATGGTTAAGGTATGTTAAATCCCATGTTTGTTGCTTAAATACCAATCATGATGGATATGATCACTACATATCCCTTTGAACAAATCCCTTTGACAAAATCCCATCATAATCACTATACAATGAAACATATTAATATATAATTGTTAATAAATCACCACTGTTCATCATGTGTGTTGGCATATATCCACCACTACATCCTGAAAACACCAACCTACCAAGCGTCCTTCATCCCTGCAGCGCGGCAGCAATGGGCCGCACCAAGAAATCACTCAAGCCAAGCTGAGGCCAGCGGAAATCGCTATCTTTCATGGGTACATATAATATTATATATTTATAATACTAATAATACTAATAATACATAATATATATATATATATGTATTATAGTATATATATGTGATATTAAAACATTATGTATATATATATATATATGTATATTCATGGTCATCCTGGAGATAGAATACGGATATTTCAATGAATTAATTATTGACATAAAAATAACCACACGGGGTATGACGGGGTTATAAACCAACAAACGCGTCACTTGAGGGCCCTTCCTAAATTGTTTTCCACATGTTCCAGGTTTCTCCCTGAGGAGATTGAACTGACCTGAAACAACATCAGCCATTGATGTTCATTTACACCCAGTTAAGGTATCTCATCGAGCTTAGGAATGCTTAGGATCCATATAGTGATCGACTGTGTATTCCTGTGTGCAACGTGACTCTGCATGATTCTGCTGTATTTGTTATTCATATTTATATATCTTCATGCTTTTATATTTTGATATCAAAATTATCCATATAATATATATATATATCGATCTATAGTAAATAAGTCCATGAATTCTATCTCCAGGCTGAAAACACATACGTTCAATTTCCAACGATAGCACATCACCACACCCTTCCACTCAAGCCGGGGCCCCTGCGCAAACCTTTCTCTCGAAACCAGGCTTCTGCTCGCGACTCGAACAAACGCTGGTACCTGTGCCACAGAAGTGCTGGTAGACCCCTAGGCCCTCGTTGATGGACTAGTCATGTTTAACTAATATCTTTTGTGACAATGTGGGTAAAACAATGTCATAAAGCCCCAATTTCACCATAAATAGGTGCTTTTTAATGTGCTAATTTCACCATTCCCAGTCATGGGTGGTAAACATGGCCATGGAAAATCCCGGAGCTGGAAGTGATCAATCTGGATCAATTATGATCAATTATCTATATGGCCAATGGATATCTAAACAATACCCAGGCCTTCAAAGGGCAAGTTTAACTTTGACATACGGAAATACTAAGTTTAACCATGGTGGGCCCCCCTTGTCTTCCCCTGGCATTACCTGTTGAGCCGGAATATAGTGATGCATGACTCATGCGCAGCAGTATATTGGGTGGAAGAGCTGACATAGATTTTGAAAAAATCGAGAACATAAATGGATCCTAGGTGGTGCCCCCGAAACATGTTCGCGTGAAGTACCCGTGAAGTTACGTGAAGTACCCGTGAAATACCATGTTTACCCGTGAAATGCTGAGTTTACCCGTGAAAAACTAGGTTTATCCGGCGCTCCGCCTGAGCTGGCACAAAACAAACCCTATGGTTGTTTTTTGATCCCAAAGCTTTGACTGATCCTGCAAAGTACTTCGGCCCAAAGCAACCAATCCCAGAGCCCAGGACACATAGTTTCCTGCAAAAAAGCAAGACCGTGGTTAAACTTAGTACTTCATGGGTAAACTCAGTATTTAACGCGAATGCCAAGTTTAACTTTGCATTTGTTTAAATGCTAAGTTAAACTTCGACGTGGGAAGGTCTGGGAATATGTATATAATATGATTCTATCAGTGGGGAATTTTGCATTGCCATGCTGAAAATTACCATCTATAGACGGTATAGGCACTTTCCGCTTTTAGCAATTTCGAGTTCGATTTTTGCGTACAAACAAATAGCAAACAAGTTCGCAACAAAAAAACACAACGAATGAACAATCGCTCGATTCAGAATTTTCCCAGGAATGATCATGTTCCAGCCGTTCAGTTGACCATTGTTGAACACCCAACTCTAATTCAATCCGGCAGGCCTGTCCGGTATACTGGGCAAAGTACAATGATATTCAAGCAGAAAATACGCTCATGCTGGGCTTCCCCCTACTAACCCATCAATAGTGACGGTGGTTGTGCAATGGTATATTACACATGGGGTTTTGTCTGGAAACAGAGTACCTTCCCATCAATTCGTCAATCTGTCCATTTTGGGGTATGCCCACATTGACCCGATGACCTACCCCACTTTCGATTCCCGGGGGTTTCTCCACCAAGTGATGTTTTTTTTGTAAACGGTAAACAAGTAAACATGGGTAAACCCAATAATAGCAAGAGGCAATAACAAACTATTCCCGATTGGGGTTTATTATTGGGTAATAAGTGCGGTATACCTCTATTTGGGATGAAAAGGACCCCCTAATGGTTGGTTAATGGGATGGTCTATTATTGGGTTTACCTCATTATAAGTTGGTTGAACCCCCATTGACTATATATATAATTATATATATATATATATGTGCCCAGACAACATAGATATATGGGGATGTGTCAAAACACCTATTATTAGCATATGACTGGGGGGAATCATATATTCCATAAACCACAAATGACTTCGAATACCATCCTGCCATCCAGGCTTTTGACTCAGTTCGCCATATTCCCGGGGCACTGCTGGTGGAGCGTATGGAAACAATGCCTGAGGGCGGTTTTCCCAGGTGATCGCTTCGAGGTGGATGGGTGTTTTTGTTGGCGTAAAGGTCATACCACATCCTGAGTTAAAAGAGTTACCCTCCAGTAAATTAACATAGACCCTGCCAGATGGGGTTTGGAAGACTAGTTTCCATTATAAATTGGTCAGTTTCAGGGTCTATGTCAATTTACCAGAGGGTAAAGTTGAATCACCAACTTAAAGATCTTGGCTTGCCGAATGATGATTTTCGGAAACAAACAAAGAAACACGTCTGAAAGTTGAAAGGATGTCTTGTAGGGGGGGGTCGTAGTTCCAAGGATTCCACAAAAAACATGTAAACAAACATGGCTCGCCCGCAGGAATGGCCACCCAGCCGAAGCTAAGTAGAACTTGGATAGGGTTTGGAGATGTAATGTGAATCCTAATGCCATAAACCTACCATGACTGGGGATAGTTTATAGCACCCATCAAAATATATCAAAATGATGATGACTTGGGGATGGTTTATGAAATTGGCTTTCCGACATTCATCTTGACTCACACTCTTTGAGAAACTACCGGGAAAAAAGACTTTCGTGGCTTTCTGGTTGGTGGTTTTAACCATCTTGAAAAAGATGAAAGTCAATGGGAAGGATGACAACCCATATATGAAATATTATGAAATGGAAAATAAAATTCATGTTTAGGAAACCACCAACCAGCTTTCATTGATTTGCAAAAAAGGGAAGCCAAACAACAAAAATCTCGGCAGATTTCCCATCCAGACTCCCCCAAACAAATCTTGGCAGCACGACAAATGCTCTGTCTCGAAGCCAGCAAACACGGCACAGTTCTCCTTGGGCGAAACTTGGGATCCAATGGCGAATTCCATGATTTCACAGTTGAAAAGGGTTATAATTCATCATGGATCTATGGATTATGGTTAGTATATCATATATTTAGAAATACTATGTACTGTAAGTATGTATATATATATATCATATATATATACACATTCATATAATAATGAATAATATTAGTGTAGAAGTACATCGTAATAGCCTATAGAGTTGCAATAAAGTGCATGTGCCCCACTTGACCTTTTGAGAACTCCGTCCTGAGCAAACTGCTCCACAAAGGCCAGAAAATTCTCATCTGTGAGCCTGCCAAAAAATCCGCGCATGGCCCACTTGGTTTATTTTATGATCCTGCACGTATTACTAACAGTTACTGGATGTTTCTAGGAAATTTAATCATAAATCATCGTTTTTTTTAAATCATCTATAACCAATATTAGCTAACTGTAGTAACTTGCTACAATAGTTATGATCCATATGTATATATATATATATATCTTTATGGGGTCACCCCCGTCACGGCGACTTAAGAACCAGGAACCTACCAACCACACACTAAGTGGGATGATCTTCCAAAGTGGGGATTCCTCTAAAAAATCACACCCAACAAAAAATAGACACCCCTCATAAACCGCAATTTAGTGGAGGATCTTCACTTCATCTGGACTCTTTGGGGGGCGCTTGATATATAGGGGATGGGGTTAGACGGCTGCCTGTCCACCAAGTCCAAGAACTGCTCATCATCCATGGACCATCGCTTCACATGGCAAGGTAGCAACTTATGGATTTATCTAAGTTTCTACTTTATCTATGTCGCTATCTAGCTATTCAATATTATTCTCAAATACAAAAAATGATAATGTATATATGTGACATAAATGATCATGTATATGTGCATGTGTCATCAAGTGTCCTTGATATCTTGTCTCAAATCCCAATTTCCCCTAATAACAAATATATCACCCAAACAAAACCCTGATTTATTGCATCTATTCATTTGGGGGACCAGTATTCGCGGATTACAATACCCCAGAAGATCACGATGGGCTTTAATCTTCATGTTGTGGGAAGTCTCAGAAAAAATATGTTCATGTTGTGAACCATGGAATCAATCTGAAACGTATGCGAAATGTTGTAGACTGTTGGAGAGCATCAACGAGTCATGCTGAGAGCCGGAATTCTTTGGAAGCACATCCTACAGCTTTCATGGAGATGTGGAGCATCATGACCATCTTCTGCGGAGAGTCATCCAACTTTTCTTTTGACATCACCAAGCTCAAATGAAAGCTTCGAGCCAAGTGCAGCTCGTGATGAATCCGACCTAAAACCAGTCTTTTCATTTCAAAATCCTCATGATCATCCCGGTGAATTAATTCACAACTAGGTCAGTGACATGTCAGTAACCCAAAAGTTGCGGCAGATTGCGTTTTACGGCCCAGATTAGGCGATTTAAGCCTACCCTCTGGTGATTTAACTATAGCTATAGCTATCTTATGGATGATTTACCTCTACCACACCCAGGTTGGTGGTCGACCTACCCCTCTAAAAAAAGATGGAGTTCGTCTGTTGGGATGATGACATTCTGCAGCAACTGAAACCTGTGCCACCGCTCACTGTCAGGTCATGGAAGCAGATGGTCGCTTCACCGCGACGTGATGGCTCAAGGGGCCCCTTTTACTTAGGTGTCACTAAGCCATGCCGGCTGCAGCTCTGACCTAAGCGGTCGTGGAATATCAGCGCGCTGTGCGCTTTGGGATCCTTGGCGTAACTACTTCTTTTCCTTCATCTATTGCCTCTTGGTTGAATTTGTGGTGGTGATTGGTTTTGGGTGTGAGCCCAGCTGTTTGAACCCTGCGCTGCCCGCTACATTGGTAGCGGAGCAGCAAGCTCCTGGACCTTTGGCATTGACTTTGAGGCCACCACCAAAGGTGATTTGCGCCTTGCAATCAGTGCTTGAGTCTTTGACTGGCAGGTCTACCTGATTGGATACTACATCCAGTTCTCCTTGGACCTTTTTGCCGAGACCTTTGGCATCAGTTGCCTTTTTGTGCTGTCAGGTGATACGACCTGATCCTTTGCTGGCCATTTTGGCCTCCTCTGAAGCTTCGTCATGTCTTCAGAGAAAGATCAACAGAATATCCCATCATGGGATGGCAGTGCTCGAACTTGGCGCCGATTTACAAGAGAGGTTTGCTGGTATGTTCGTGGAACCCCAGTTGAGAAAAGGCGCTACTGTGCCACCAAGCTTGTTGGGAAACTACGTGGGCCTGCGAGGTTGCTAGCTATGAGCTGGACCACCATGGAGTTCGACCACACCAATGGTGTCAAGGAGTTGTTGCAGAGGCTGGCAAACAGCCCCTTGGTTCGTCAAACCTTACCGAATGCTGCAGCAACATGTCAGCAGTACTTCAACTTCAGAAGGGACTACAACGAGCCAATGAACAACTTTCTTGTTCGTGAGGCACTTGGGTACTCAGAGTTTGTGGAGGCGCTCCTTCTCCTGTATGAGGACAAGAATGGAGTGAAGCAAAGCGAGAAGAACTTCGACCTCCCGGACGAAACGCCCTATGAGGAGCGATCTTGGTATGGATGGTATCCTGAAGATGCTGAAGAACCAGAGCCCGATGTACCTGTCACATCGCCTGCTGCTGCTGCAACGGCCGCTACGGCCACAGCTCCTGACTTTGGAGATGGCTCTATGGGAGCGACATCGCCGCAACGACGACCTGGTGGATCACCAAGCTACAGATCGGTTGGTGTTCCAAGCACCGCTGCTGCTGCTCAACCTCAACAAGGTCGAGATGCGATCGATGAGTTCTCCCTGGCCGACAGCTTTGTGCTTGGAGTATTACGTGGCTTCAGGCTCTTGCAGTCAGCTGGATTGTCAGCTGATGAGAAAAGAGACATTTTGTCTGCCACCAAAGGCAGCCTGGAGTTCACCGTGATCACTCAGGCCTTGCAGACTCTATGGGATGAACAATTTCTTGGACGCTCTGGTGGAACTATGTCTTCGAGGAGCTCTATGAGCGGCTACTTTCAGGACACCTTCAACGCCTTTGAGGAGCCCTATGAACCTTGGTGGAACGATGGATGGGATGAAAACTATTGGGCGGAAGCTGATTACTGGCCTGATGAAGAATGGGATCAACACTGGGGAGATGCACAACATGTACAACATGATCAACTTCCTGCCGAAGAACCTCCTGCAGAAGATCCTCAACTACAAGATGCCATGAAGGTAGAACGTGAAGCTGAAGGCTTGGCCATGCAAGCTCAGCGTTCATGGGCAGAAGCTCAAAGGGCCACTGCAGCTCTTCGTCGAGATCGTGGTTTCGGTCAACAAAGCAGTTCTGGTGATGTCAAATGTTTCATTTGCAATGGCAACCACTTTGCCAGGAATTGTCCTGACCGAATGCATCCCTCTGCCAAGTCCAAGGGCAAGGGCAAGTTCAACTATGCAGCTGAATGGGAGAATTCCGAGCTCTTCTACATGAAGGGAAAAGGTAAGATGAAAGGCAAGGGGAAAGGCAAGTTTTCCAATCACATGTTGGATTCCAATGCAATGTGGAAAGGTAAGGGGAAATCCAGAAGTTCTCCAACACGTCCAGCAGTCAATGCATACATGACGGAATCACTGTTTGGTTTGGAACTTCGCTCTGAACCCTTTGAAGCGCAGTCCACCGATGCCACCAACATGCAGCCCAGTCTAGGTCTTTTAGATTGCGGAGCCACCGCAAGTGCCGGGCCAGAGACCTCTGCGCAGAAGCTAATCAGCTCTGTGTTGGCCCAGGACAAAGGAGCCACCGTGACCATCGCGAAGTATATGCGGCCTTACTTCCGGTTTGGGAATGGATGTTGGGGGCAAGCCAATTTCCGTGTTTCAATATCCCCAAGTGTTTCTGGAGTTGAAAGAACTTTTCATATGTATTGCCTGCCGGACCCCAAGAATGGTGATGTCAACAATTTGGTGCCTGTTTTACTTGGTATGGACCACCTATCTGGAAAAGATGCTCCCGAAAGTGCTCTTATAATTGATTTTTCGACTGGTTTGGCTGTGGAATCTATGAACCCCCAACCTGTCGTACATCAACTACAATCCAACAAAAAGGGTCACTATGTTCGGGACATTGTCAAATACCTCACTATGGGTTTTTCCAACCATGAAGGGTCTCCAACAATCCATGTGCTTGAGGGTGCGATCCAGTCAGCTGAGTTGCAAACACTTGAATTTCATCCAGTTCAATACTATGACATGTCCATGCAAGACAAGGTTTTTGATGAGCAGGTTTTGGAAAGGTCACGACGGAATCTTTTGGCAATTCATGCGCAACTTCATGGTCTTTCATTTTCATCCTTTATGTCATCAGCTGCTTCGGCTTCAATGTGTCCTAGCGACAGAACGACTCCCAATTCGAAGTTGCCTGCTTCCTGTGCGCGTGATGGCTCAGGAACAACCTCCAGTACAAGAACGGGGCAACATCTTGGAGCGCATCCAAGCAGCGACTCCAAAGACCAAAGATGTGCGACCCTTGGATCCCAGTCGTGCGATGGGCATGGACGAGAGAGATCCGCGGGTGGAACAAGCTCAATGGCCTTGCTTCGGACACCATGTTCCAGCGAAGGCACACAGCAATGCACACGGGCAGTGGACTCAATGCTCAGTGTGCAACCTGCGTCTCAACTATGTGCCGAAGGTGGGCAGTCACAGCGGCAGTACGAAGGTGGAAAACAGGGCAATGGTCGCCAGAATGCTGACCGAACTTCAGCCTTTGATGCGTGGAGCAAAGCCCACGGCAGCAATCTGCCTGGCCATGCAGAAGAAGATCGATGCCGAGGAAACCTTGACCCACATGATCGACAAGGAGTTCATGGCGCAGAACCCAATGGGATACACTGTGGGAGGCCGTCCAAAGGCCAAAGCTTTTCCGACGAGGGCATCAACAACTGTGGAGCCAGTGCAGACTCCAAGATCGACGGCAGAAACCAACTGGGATGTGATTCCAGGATCACCTCCTCCTCTCAACGACTTGGAGAACCACCTCACTGCCGAGGAGAAGAATCAGCTTGTGCAGCTCATGATCGAGCGTCGCCAAGCAGCTGCGGCATCAACACCTGTGCCGGAGCCCGTGAACCTGACTGCGGCCTACGAGACCGACATGGCGTGAAGACTGGCATTGACGAGACCTATGTCCCTGCGGAGTCCTTCAAGACCGACAACTTCAAGGTTTCAAAGGAGCTCTACGGCAAGTTGCAACCCTTGACCAACAATGTGGCCACCAAGGTGATGATGTTCGCATCAACTATGATTGCAGCGGCAACTGCAACGATGCTGGACTTTACTCTTGATGGCCGAGATGGACTTTGGGAAATAGCATGCGCCCCACACTCTTGGTTGAGCCAAGCTGCCGAGCAACATGGTTTGCAGCCTCGGCGCATCAACCTGCAGAGCGGTTTTGATCTGCATCAACCAAAAACATGGGAGCGACTTGATGAGCTTCGACGTCAGCGTCGTCCAAAGCGTTTGTGGTGGAGCCTTCCGTGCACACATTGGTGCCCATGGTCTTCTCTCAACTACCCCACACCTGAGCAGAAGGAGTTGCTTGAGTCATACCGCAGAAAAGACCGAAAGCTTCTTTGGCGTGCATATGGTTTCATCAAAAGAGCGATTGAGGATGACCCCGAGATCACAGTGTTTTGGGAATGGCCTCATCCTTGTTTTGGATGGAATCAAGAACCCATGCTGGCGAT